ATATAACGTATGATCTAAAATTATGGCTTTAAAATCTAAGATCTCCTATCACTAACTCGCCCCTGGACGCCACGAACCCTGCCTCAGATAACGGTTGTACCTCGCTCCATTTTTGATAATATTAAACAATTATTGAATGAGATTGAATTATGATATCTTGATAATTCTCGATATCATACGAATACCGAATTCAATAATTGTTCTATTATATATTCGAAAGCTAAAAAGAAAGCAAATCCATTTTGTTTACGCTTTTAAAAATATGGAATTTTCGCGCGTTTTTTAGCAAACAATGCAATCTCGTTACCCGAGCCTGCGATCCTCGGGAAGGAACGCGAGGCTCTGGGATAATCTGTTTCAGGGAGGAATCTGATTGGCCGTTGACATGGAATGCGCAGTTCAATCTTAGCTAGGATTCCTGGCTTCCGGCAACGGATTATCCCAGGGTCTCACGTTCCTTCCCGAGGATCGTAGGCTCGGGGAACGAGATTGCAAACAATGGACCGCGCCGGGGCTTGGTAACCACAGCATGCAATAACACCTTTTTACTTTGGTCCAAAAAAAGTATTATTGCACGCTGATGGCGTCAGCAGCTGAAATAATGCGACGACTTCAAGATACCGAGAATTATCCCACGCGTTTTGACAAATCACGAACGTGAATATATAATAATTAATAATATTTATTAAAATACCAGTTTTGCAGTAGAACTGAATAATATTGGTTTACAAGGGTCAAGGTTAAATACTAGTTTAGAAATTCAAGGTTACAAAACAATTAAAAGAAACAGCTAAAAACTAATGAATTTAGTTAATTATATTAGTATTCCCGTTATGAGTTCTACTCGCGGCTTGGATGGAACTAATAAAACCGATAAAACCGAAAGGTCATTTATGTTGATGACATCAGGTTGGGTACAACACAGCAGAGGAATTACAAAAAGCAATGGAGAATTGGAACAACAAATTGGCAGCATAAGTATGCGGAAGAACAAGGTAAAAACGGAAGTAATGAAAGTTTCAAGAGGACAGACAATGCCACGATTACAGATTACAGCGGATGACCAGCAACTGAATCAACAGCCTTCAGATACCTAGGAAGTTGGCTACAGGAAAATAGGAGAACACATGGACGAATATCAGTGAAATTATATTTGACAAACGGATGCTAATGAGACTGAAGACGTAGGTGTACAAAATGATGGTAAGACCGGTGAACCTACATGGCGGTATTAGAGGTATTAGAGGAGTAACAAGAGAGAGAATGAGAAACGAAGACATCAGGAAGGAATTGAAGGTGGTGGAACTGAGAGAGAAAATACGGCCACATGAAGAGAATGGAGGAAAATTAGTTTGTCAGATGATCAGGGAATCAGGGAGGACGACCGAGGGAGCGGTGGATGGATTGTGTGCGGAACGATGGTAGAGTGGTGGATCTGGATAAAGTTGACGAAAGAATAAAGTGGAGAATGTCAAATGTGTCGAGGCGACCCGACCCCCCTTGAGCGGACAAACAGGATGGTGATGGCGTCTATCACACCCCCCTCCTCCCCCGTACCAGATAAAAACTGGATCTATCCCTTGGAAAAAAACATTGCTTCTAAGTTCAGATAAATACGACAGCAAGATGTCACTGAGTTGTGCCATATGTGCTGGGTGAGAACAAGCTATAAAGAATAAATAAAGTGCCTTCTTGTGTCTAGATGTACCAATCTGCACTGAAGAGGTGTTAGGTGCCAAAATATGCAATACCTACCGGTTGTCCTGTATGCTATAAAACGTCCCATAACCATCTTCCACCATCGGCCAGGTAACACCAAAAACTGGGATGTATCCAACTAAACTGGTAGATAGTATATAATTACCATCACCACCACTGCAAAATAAAAAGTATTGTCACATCAGTTTAATTCTAAATTTTATGAATTTTGCCAAAAGTACGATTGAAAATTGGTGAAGAAGTTTTTCAATAACTGTTTATAGGGGCTGGTTGTATATTTTGATATACGTCGTGAAATTGTTCAAGACAACGTCGCAAAGTGGTCGCAAACCAGAAGCTGTCAGCTGACGCCAAATGACGACATCCGCGTCGTCTTTGAGCTCGCGTCGTCTTTTCTAGTTAGTTACGAAAATGTCCCTCTCTCTCTCTCTGACGAATTCAAGTACTATACCTTTTTGTCCAAGCTGGATCAGTGAATATCTCGGGCGTTGGTAATCCTAAAACATAACACAGATAAGATGGTTCATAACTGAAAATATCACTGAATATCACCACCGATTATAAGAGACTAAAATGTCACGTTTGTTATAACATTTAAAACGTACACCTTATAATTCAACCACCGCTGTAATTCCCATACGTTTGTTGTTTGTGCAATTGTATAGGCATTTTAAGAACACGGGACAATGGTGCGAGGCCGAGGTCATAGAATAGGAACCTTACGAAAGGTCGACTTCTTGGTTTTGCCTATGATTTTGGTGTAACCGTTGCAATGCTGTCGCCATGCATGGTCCTAGGGAAGAGGTTATTTCGCTGGCCTCAGAGTGACAAAACATAAGAAAGAAACGGTTTTACTAACACTAACCCAATTCTAAACACCAACCCTAAACCTACTCCAAGTTTGTTTCTGAACCAATCTCGAAGAAAAACGTTTTGACGAAATGTCATTCTGAGGTCAGCGAACTAACCTTTCCCTTTCCCTAGAAACATGGCGAAAGCATTTTGATGACGAATCATTGCGAATCATGCATCATGGTGTGGCAGCGGTTACGCTTTTTTGGCTGAGTTGACTTCTGTATGTCTCTATTCTGTGCCGATGTTGACAATAACTTATTTCAGTTGGACGCTATTATCAGCCTCACGTTGTGTCGTGTGCACCCAAGCAAATTTCCAAAGTGTTTATCAACCAAGGTGTTATTAACAATCATAACAAACCTGACTTTTCTGCAAGAATTTTAAGACCCAAGAGATGACGATCGATTCCTAAATATGGATTTGATGATTTAATGTTAAATTCATGCTAAGAGTCCCTAGTTATTCATATATCCTACATTTACTCTACTAACCTCAAATGTTCTGGGATAAATATCCAGCGGGCCGCTATTTTATCCAGCCCTATGTGAACCTACAATTAAGGCAGGCCTGCATGGTGTCTAATTGTAACTGACATTTAAGGGGCCCATTTCTTGTCTAAACATGACAGGATCCCACCAGAAAAAAATATCGATAAATACCTGTTGCATGGGGACACCTACGCAGACTAGGGGACACCTCCCTGGACAGACACTTCCCGTCTGCTCCTGTTATTTCAACGTCTTTGTGCACGCTTTTTAATAAGTCCCTAAGCCAAGGTGCTCTTCCAGAAGATTGGAAATCGCCAACATAGTTCCTACGTACAAGAAAGGTGAAAAGGAATATGCTGAAAACTACCAGTCAATCTTACTCCTTTCGATTGTGTGGAACGTTTTGGAACGCTCCCGTCTCAGGGAGCAGCTGTACCAGGTAATTAAGATCTCGCAGCACGGATTCATTAGAGAAAATCATGCGTGACCAATCTTCTCGAAGTTCAACTATATTGGCTCGACTATGGATGTTCGATGCTGTGTATCTTGACATGTCTAAGGCGAGTGACTACCTTAGTAAACCATAAACATCTGTTGTACAAATTATGGATGGCTGGATTTGGAGGTAGTCTCTTGCAGTGGTTTCAATCTTACCTAACCAATCGCCATCAACGTGTAACTACACAAGGTTCCACTTCTACTACCATACCAGTTACATCAGGTGTGCCTCAAGGGTCCAGTCCTTTTCAGCCTCTATGTCAACGACCATCCAGATGCAATTACATCTAGTCATGTTGCTATGTTTGCTGATGATACAAAACTGTTCAAAAACATCAAGTCCATCAGAGACAGCAAACAGCTTCAAAACGATCTCAAAATTTAGAAACGTGGTCTGAAGAGTCAGGTCACAAATTTAGTATGCAAGGCACAACGTATAACAAGAAAGATAACACAACGGAAATTTAGTACAGACTGAATGTGAACGAGATCTCGGCGTGTTTGTGGATAAAAGCTTAACCTGGAACAGACAAGTGTACGAGCACGGTATTGGGTTACATCAGAAGACCACAATGTATATCCACAACCAGCACAGTTTATAGTCTTAGTCTATAAACTGTGCAACCAGGAAGTGAAACACAGCCACACCTGGGGTATGCTACCCAAATATGGGCACCATAATACGCCACCTTGACACGTAACACAGAGAAGAGTAACCAAATACATCCTCAGTCTTCCATTCTGCTCTACTGACCATACTACCAGACTTTAAACGTTAGCCCTCTTACCTTACCTGCTATTGGCATGAAGACCTAGACATGGTGCTTTTTTATAAAATAACTCACAAACTAGTGATCATTCAGATCCACTAGATCCTCCGTCAATAACAGTCCTAAGTTCACGTGTCAAAATGCAAAACAGTAACATATCAAAGATTTTACATGATTCGGGCAACTCGAATATGGGACCATATCATTGATGAACTTAATTTGAATACGGATAGTCTTCATCATTTAAGTCTAACATTTCCTCTTTGTACTCGTGTTACGATGATGAGGATCCTCGTAGTTATAAAACTATATGTTCTAAGTGTAATTCTGTTCGTAGTCTCACAGCGTCATTATTGTGCTCTATGTAGGAACTGTTAGTACTGTTCTTTGTCGTTTAATATGGGTATTGTTGTAATTTATTTATTCGGGCCCGCAGTAATTGGCAATTATCTTGTGGCGGATTCCCTGCCACTATGTAATATGTGCAAGGTTAATTAAATAAATTAGTCGAATATCGTGCATTTTTATGCACATTGTAGTATATGCTCACCTAATCCATTAGTAGCCTCGCTCATCAGTTCATCATGTTTTAAACAAGCAATCCTTAGCAGTTTCACTTTACGTTTAGCCTAGAAGTGAGCATAAAGAAAGCGTATAACTAAACAATTATAAAATGAGGAAAGGATGTTTTCTGTGAAAATTCTTTTGTTTAAAAACTTAAAGTGCACATAACATGAAATTGTTTCCTCGTTTCTTATACATTATTTTACAGTACTGTGAAAATGACGAAGAATGGCCTCAACCGGCTCAACGATTTTATCCACAGCTCATCTCGTTCCAAAGTTATATCGGACATTTTGTATTTTGTGTCATGACGTCACTGGTTGTGCTTAAGATGGCAACAAAAAGATTCAACGAAATTAAAGTGCCCGTAACCCCAAAGTTGATTTTCAGCTTGTTAAAAGTATGCTACCAGTGGAACAGTATTGCGAAACATTTTTTGTGTTTGGTTGAAAAGCAAACATTTTAGAGCCACTTGAATTATGGATTGCTTGGTCAATGGACGTCGTGTACGGGAGTCTGGGTCTAGCACAATTTCTGACGTCACGCGAGTTACTGAATATCACCACTAAATAAGTAAATACACGAGTCTTGCCACTAAAACTTTGAACTAAAAATCATCATGGTGATATGGTAAATCTTTCGAAGTTATTATCGTCGTATTTCAGGAATATTACAATTTACAGTATATTATGTTCAACCTAGGCCGGGTTACATGATCTTTGATACACTTGCAATTGTTGTCACACGCGTACTAAACTGCAGCTTCTCTATATTTTACGATCATTTTTAGTGAGCATTTTCACAATTTTATGAAACTAGCTTTGCCACGGTTTCTATACTACGCTGATCGTTCCACCAAGGATAAAATATGTTGTGTTGATGCTTTTAAGTTGTCTCTGCGGCAATATTTTATTGCCACATACCGATCATATGACAAGACAATTTACACTATCTTACAATTTGGTGCGCTATTCTGTCATCACAAAGTTCGGATCACTAGATGTAAACCGGTGGTATTTAGTCATTTCACGATCAAAATATTGTGTTTTAACAGGAAAGCGTTCTTGTGAAATGTGCGCATATATTTCTTAGAGTTAGAGTGGGCAACGAATACTTTGTACTCGCAGATCTCAAGCACATATCAAATGGCAGTATAGTGACACAACTATTTACGATTCCACTGCAAATAATATAGCGAATGCGTTTTAGAACATAAATTTACATAACAGAACATAAATATATCATGCAACGATTATTAGCGCAAACGGTATAAGCTTGGAAAATCATGATTTTCGACAAAACAAACGCGCTATTATACAGACACGATCAGCACCAGGCCAATTTAAGTTCCGTTGCAATTTAATACGATACTTGTTATTGTTGAGCAAACTGCCAAACTGGATCAAGTTTAGATCAATATTTTCGAACAAGCAAGCTCGCTCTTCTTCGGTGATATATTTGTACAACACAGGTTTTTTAAAGCTGATATTTCCATTGTCCTATCGGCTAACGTTCCGTAGAGCGTCTTGTTATACTGAAATGTTCATAGAAACACGCACGTTCATAGAAGCACGCAAATAATGCTCGTTCCAGACTTCAAGCAGTTAAATATTCCGACGGCCATGTGCCAAGTAAAATCGCAATATAAGCAGGTTCAAGTGGCTCTAAAATTTTTGCTTTTTAACCAAAAGCAAAAATTTTTTCGCGCAACTGCTACACTCATAGCATACTTTTAATAAGCTGTTACGGGCACTTTAAATGAAATTCGGTACAGTTAGTAAGTGCACCTAAGCAAACATTTTGTACCGTTTATGTGGTTGTCATAGCAACACAATAGTTACCAGGTCTCTCTGTCCTATGCTTAGGAAGCATGCGCGAATAATTAAACCTGGTAATTAGTGTGTTGCTATGACCTGGTAACTAGTGTGTTCCTATGACAACCACATAAACGGTACAAAATGTTTGCTTATAGGTACACTTACTAACTGTACCAAATTTCATTTCATTTCGTTGAATCACATCAGAGATATTAGACCGATAATGACCGATAACATGGGAACAAGATGAGCTGTGTGTTTTCGTTGCCATTAATTGTCCTTTAAGGCCATTTTTCATCATTTCGAGGTACTTTAAAGTGATGTATAAAATAAAGGCGGATAAAATAAAGGCGGATAAAATAAAGGCGGAAAAAATTCGTGTCATGCGCACTTAAAAAAAAACAAAAAACAAAATAGCTGGTACTGAAGGAACGTCTTGATTTACGTGGCTACGTTTTGATTTAGCCCGCTCGCGGCACTTCTTTCCAGAACAGAATGTGAACAGAAGAACAGTGCAATGAATGTTTTAAAACAGAAACCGGAGCAGCCTATCCCAGATGTTCCCAGTCCCCTTCTCAGTGAGGCGCGAAGTATGAAATGGTCGCTACATAATTTTTATAGCCCGCTCGGAATTAGTGAAACACCTATGAAAGAGGTAGTAGGATGCTCGGGGACACTAATTTTTTCAAACTTGGGCCTACAAACAGGATCGTGTCATACAATATCTCAAACAGATAAGTGTAGTTACACTACCGTAGATTGATCATCTTCCATCGCTTTACACCATTGTTTCGCTTCTGTAGTGTGAGAACGGACCTAAAACATAATGCTACATTAATTACCTGACTCTTCCACAGTCCTCAATTTTGCTTCGAAAAAATTAAGATTATGCAGGCGCAAATTTACAGGCGTTTACGGGTTGGAATAGGACGCAAAGGCCGCAATAGGACGCAAAGGCCCATGGGAATGCAGAGCATTCCCATAATTCAACGCGGGATGAGCGACTGGGGACGAGTCAGGTACATTAACGTGCTATAGCGAAACTCCAACTAAATCAAAATTTGCGACAGCCGTTCCTATTTGAAATTGCAAGTAATGTGAAACTGTACATGTTGTCATTCCTGACTTCACAAACAATATATAGATATGCACAGCAATATTATAATTATATAGATATTTATGATATAGCATTTGTAAATTCTGAACGCTGATTGCCCAAGAGCCGTGTTGATATAACTCAATGTCAGCACGGAAAATTTCTGGTATATTATAAAGGAAATATAAAAAATTCACAAAAAAGTGAGAAAACACTCCGCACTTCGGGCGTCGTGTTTCCACACAATTTCTCGTTTTCCCAATTTCCACTCGTGTTGATATAAATGCATGTATATCAACACGGAAAATGTTTTATATTTGTTAATTATATAGATATGCACAGCAATATTATAATTACATAGATATGTATAAAATTATATTAAGTGACAGTTTATTCGCACAAAGTCATTCACTCATTTATTTTTACCAAATGATTATTGTTGTTTTCTAGAGTGACTTAAGTTTCTGTTGGAGTAAAAAAGATTTGAATCATCTGGAAACAGATGAAAGTCAAACAACTTAGAACTGTTTTGAAAGTCATTAATATATAGAAGAAACAGTAATTTGAACTAATTAAAACCAATTATCTAAACTGAAGTATATATATTTAGCAATAAACATAGTTAGTTTAAATATTGTTAATGCTGATATTCAATATTTAGGCGTTCTGGGGCCTGGGGGTCTCCTATTTTCTCTTGTGGGATAACGCCTAATTTCCGTAGGATGGTCCGGTGTTGGAATGTTGATGTCCTCATCGTCAAAAGGGTCTGCTGCATCATCTTGTTGTGTGTGGTGATAGTGATTTTCTTGAACTGCGAGCTGTTTCTTGTTATGTAACTGGTTGCGTTTCTTGCCGTTATCATACTACCTTTGATCTTGACGATAGTGTATGGATGTTTGTCGTACGGTCAGGATAGTTTATTGACTCGTTTTTGACGAACGAGAACAGTGTCACCAACTTGAAGGCTGTGTGGTTTTGCTTTAGCTGCGGTATCAGCATACTCTTTCATCTTTCCTTCTTTTTGAGATCGATATCGGCGAATTGCGATCGTGACGTGGGGACTACTTCCGGTAACTTGACGGTCAATTTTCGTCCAAAGAGGAGCTCGGCAGGGGAAACTCCCGTGGTAGAATGTGGCGTTGCAAGGTAGTTTCGGAGGAAAAGAAACAGTTCTTGCTTCCAATTCTTGTTTTCGAGGTGGGCAGCGCGTAGTGTTTTCTGAATTGTTCGCATGAAACGTTCAGACTCAGAATTGGCTTTTGACCACTCCGGAGTGATCTTTCGGTGGTGAAACCCCATGTATTGCGCGAACTGGGCGAAAGAGTGACTTTGAAATGGAGGTCCGTTGTCAGACTTGATTTCTCTAGGAATGCCATGCGTGGATAAAATGCGGTCAAGTTTCGGGATGACGGTATTTGCAGAGGTGGAGCGAACAATCTCAACCTCGGAGTATTCGTCGATTACCACGAAAAGCATATCACCGGAGGGATGAGGGCCGCAGAAATCTACAGAGAGTTGTTGTCAAGGGGCCTGTGGTAACTCGGTCATGCGTAGGGGTTCAAATGGCTGTTGAACGACTGTTGCCTGACAGGTGAGACAGGTGTCAATTAGCTTTTTCGTACGCCCATCGATTCCAGGGAACCAAATCTTTTCGCGGAGCAGCTGTTTGATTTTGGTAAGGCCTTGATGACCTTCATGGGCGATGTGGAGAGCACGTTGACGAAGGGCATGTGGGAGGATGAGACGGTGAGAGCGAAAAAGGAGATCATGATAATCAGAAACACTCAGTTCATCGCGGATATTGTAGAGAGCGTGGAGGTCCTGGGAGTTGACAAGGGGACTGGGTGTCTCAAAAGTTGAGTGCCAGGAGTTGTTACGGAGGGCTTCGATGACGGCTTGCAGAGTGAGGTCGGCACGGGTGGATTGTTTCACTTCAGAAACGGTCATAGCTTTTGGGGTGGTATGATCTGCTAAGAACGCGATATATTCTTCCGCCTGGTCGGATGCAGTGGAAGGGTGGGTCGTAGCTGGAAGGTGACGGGACAGATAATCAGCGGGGTTGGTTTTGCCAGGAGAATAGGAAATGGTGAAGTGATATGGTTGAAGCTTGAGGGCCCAGCGTTCTAATCGGGCATTGGAACGAGCAGCGGGATTGGTAAAGATGCGTTCAAGAGGTTTGTGATCTGTGATGATGTTGAATTTCGCGCCGTATATGTAAAGATGAAAATGTTCACAAGCAAACAGTACACCGAGGGCTTCTCGTTCTGTTTGGGAATACCGTTGTTCTACGGGAGTGAGAGAACGACTTGCATAGGCAACAACATGATTGTCTTGGCAAAGAATAGCACCAAGACCAACAGGGCTGGCATCGACAATTATGGTGGCTTCTTTGTGGGGGTTGAAGTACGAGAGAACGGTGTCGCTGGTGAGAAGATCCTTCAGCTGATCAAAAGCGTGTTGATGCTGGGATTTCCATGTCCAGGGCTGATCGGATTTGGTAAGCGTACGGAGGGGTTCGGTGATGGTGGAATAATTGGGGATAAATCGGGAACAGTACTTGGTCATACCGAGGAAACTGCGAACTTCATGAGCGGTGGTAGGGGGACTGGTATTGTCGATGGCAGAGACTTTCTGGGGGTCTGGGGAGAAACAATTTCTGGAGAATACATACCCAAAGAACTCGATGCTGGATTTGTTGAACTCGCACTTTTTGGCATTCATCGTAAGGTTCTTAGAGCGTAAACGTTCAAAAACGGCATGAAGCGCTTTGTCATGTGCCGCTTGGTCTGTACCAAAATTGATGATGTCATCGCTAACATTACGAGCACCTTCGATACCACTGAGGACTTGTTGGATGGCATCTTGAAAGACTTCGGCGGCGGATGACGTACCAAAATTTAAGCGGGTGTAGCGGCGAAGTCCTCTGTGCGTGGAAAACGTTGTGATATAGCGGCTTTCGGGTGCGAGTCCGAGTTAATGGTAACCAGAGTTCAAATCAATTTTAGAGAAAACAGTGGCACCGTTTAGATCATGAATTAGGTCATCAATAGTCGGTGTAAGATGACGTTCACGAAGGATCGCACGATTGGGTTAGCGCATATCGATACAAAGGCGAATCTCATCAGGGTTCTTTGGTTTTGGTGTCACAACGAGAGGGGACACCCAAGGAGCTGTGCCATCAACCGGTTCGATAATAACCTGGTGGAACGGAATTCTCTGATGAGGTTGCGTCACGGGGGGTACAGAGAGATCAATATGTAGATGAACTTGAAAATCCTTCATCTTGCCAATTAATTGTGTGCTGCTAAGTGTGGAAAGCGGTGTGGTGGTGTTGACAGATGCGTTGGTTTGAGCGATGACAGAGATAAGTTCTAATTCAGTTGTTTTCGCCCTTAATAACGTAGATAGTAGCGGGGGTTGTGCGTGTTTTCGATTCAACGCGAGTGTAGAATGTTCCAAGAACAGGTAGAGGATTTCGTGATGGCGTGATAAGCCTTTTCATCAATAACATTAATGCTGGCGCCGGAATCGATCAACATTTGAAGTGGTACATTTGCAATCATAACTTTGGCCTTCGGGGTGGTTAAATTACTGACTTGAAAAATAGCTACTGTGAAAAGATACTCAGCATCAGAGGTGGGGGTTGACGTGGAAAGGAGTTAGGAGGGGGTAGTTGAAAACGCGATTGAGGACGGGGGGAGCTACTTTCAGCAAACGGTGGTCTGATAGGTTTAGATCGACAACAACGGGCAAAATGGTTCATTTTTCCGCACGAACGACACTGGGAAGCGCGCGCAGGACAGCTGGCTTGACCTTGTGGATAGCCATAATGTCCACACGTTACACGTAGAGGATGGGCTTGGGAACTCTCGGGAACGTGGGAAAGGAGCAGAAGGCGATTGACGGGATTGAGAACGCTGAGACATACGAGTATGGTTTAAAAGTTCAGTTTGATCAGGAGAAATGGATTTAGATTCAATACCAGAGGCTTGTTTTTCAGATATTTCCATGGCGCGACCGAGATCAAGGAGTGCTTTGAGGGTTAAGGATGATTCAGAAAGTGCGCGTCGACAAAAGTGAGACGAGGAGCAGTTGAGGATTATCTGCGATTTGATTTCTTTCTCAACAGAGGTAAATTCGCAAGTTGAGGCCAGTTGGTGCAGACGAGTGGTAAATTGATCGAGCGTCTCAGTTGGTTGTTGACGAGCTTGACGAAAGAGGTAAGTTTCATAATCAACGTTGCGTTGCGGCGTAAAATGTTCGGTTAGGCGGTCCATCGCTTTCTTGTAGTCTTTCTCGTCACCGGTATCCGTTAAGGTTTCGAATGTATCAAATGCTGACGAGCCAATATAGTGCAAAAGAAGTGCGCGTTTGCGTGTCTCATCATCGATATCCATGGCAAGAAGGAAATTTTCAAAACGTTTTTTCCATTTAGTCCAGCATTGACCGGTGGCGCCCGTCGCGGTGGGGTCGTCTTCAACATTGAACGGAGGAAATGGTGGTAAAGATGAGGCCATAGCGCATGTGGAGATATTTTTATCCTCGTCGCCAATGTAGTATTCCTATAGTATGATAATACGAAGCACGCTCTTTGAGTGGTTATCACAATACTAAATTTAATATCCATGGAATGCTAACTATATACAAGTGACGTTACATAAGTAATGACGTCAGGTTATTACAAGTGCGTCATTGCCATAAATTAAAAACAGGTGTGACCACCTTGTACAACTGCGATGCAATAAAAAACCTTTCAAACGTTGTGTTATAATCGCGTTAATACTTCAGAAGAAGTCGGTCGAGGATGGAATCTATTTATTTTATCAACCTGATATTCATATTTGCTGTGAATGTATTCTTCTTTTTCTCAGGAATATGTTTAAATTCCTTGGTCATACTCAGTTTCTGGAAGTCTGTACAGCTTCGAAAGAAATTATGTTATTTCACGATAATGGTTTTGTCCTGTTGCGATTTGCTTACGGTTTTAACTAACAATCCATTGATGGTCCTTATCGCGAAGTCATGGTTGACTGAAAAGGTGGATGTAAATGCTAGATGGGCTCATATTTCCATGAACTCGACAAGTATTTCCCTTGGTTTTTCATTATTCGCTCTTTTGGTGATGAATTTCGATCGATATTTGGCGACATCTTATCCTATCTTTCATCGCACATCGGCATAGGCGTACGGGAGGGTGGGGCTGGGGGGGGCTGCAGCCCCCCCAAATTTTTGAGAATTTATCTATTCGGGCAAAAATTATCTTGTCATTCGGGCAACGACGGTCTGGTGATTAGACGAATATATTGATCCATAAAGCGGAACAGAAGTATTATTTCGACAAGTTCAACTTTTACGTAAGGTTCAATCATGCAATGGAAATCTGTAATGGCAACGCGTTTCACTACGTTTGTGTGTATTTATTAATACCATAGATCGCATGCATCAGGTTAACCTTTATTAATTTAAAGGTCAAGTTCTCTAACTTAACCGGATTTGGTTTTGATTTTTACGTTACGCACATACCACAGACGTAAATCCCCAACCATACCTAATTTTAAGAATTTTTTATCACTGCACAGTTTTGTGCAAAGTTTAGTCGAGCAGAAGCACGCCCTGAAAATTTCTGAACACATCCTTATAATAATGTGTAACAACAAAGCAGGCTACTATTCATATTCAAAAATGCCAAAACGAACATACACTGCACAGCACTCAGGGAAATTTGGGGGCCCAGGACAAACTTTGACTTGTGGGCTCTCGTGATTCCATGTTCTAACACTATGATTCCCTGGTCCGGGGGCATCACCCGGAAAAATTTTGAATCTGTGATCCCAGAAATGGCCAAATCCTGCATTCTGGAAGTCTAGTTGATAGTTAGTTATATCTATGTACATTTCACTGCAATTCTTTATTTGGGCCCCCCTTTAACTGGGGTCCCAGGGCAAATTGCACCCCTCTGGGCGGCCTTGACAGCACCTGCAGTTACGACTATCTGTGACAGCTTAGTTTCATAATAACATGACTGAAGAAAATAAATATTTTCGTCTTGGCAAATGAAAGGCAGCTTACGGGCTTAGGCGTGACAAACCTCTAGAGGAGTTCCAGGGGCACGCACCAACAGACAATTTTGTAATCTAGGCACTATAAAAGGGTATCTCCTGCAATGTGCGGGGACATTCTATAGAATTCTGAAAATTATACAGTAATTACAAAACGGAAATCTTATATGTATCATTTACTCCTTCTTCCAAACTCATAAAGAGATCTTTGCATGGTGAGAGACTTTGTTCATCTGATGAACCATAAGTATGTTATTAATGTGGACGTTCGATAATTTGGCAGTCATCATTTCAATTTCAATTAAATCATTCTCATTCAAAATGTTTCGCCGGATTAGTTCAGTTTTTCTGCTCATTGTCTCATTTTCTTGTGTTAATTAACAACTTATCAAAGCAAATGTTATCACTGCACATTTTATATTTTATCACTGCACATTTTACTTTTATCACTGCACAAATTGGTTATCACTGCACACTAAAATTAGGTATGTCCCCACTACTGTATTCATGCCTATATTCATCAGTTTACCTAGCATAATGTATAGGCTATACAACTATTAAACTATATAAATATATAGTATATAGCTACACATTTTTGCGAAGGTGTGGTATCGTACGTGTGCGTAGTAACAATCGGATCAGTAATGTTTATCTCCTTTGATAGCATTGGTTGCGTAAATACAGTCTCTGGTCTTGGGCGGCACCGCGGCTATGACACAGCAGTCACTGAAAATAGATACTACATTATAATTGACATTGATGTAACCGTACAAATACTGTACAATGACATAATGGGACTAATTTTAGACTATTAGATAGACATAAAAGTGTGCGATTTTTTTTACAATCATTACGTATGGCATCTCGTAAAAGACAGTACCGATATCGCGTTCGGTGCGAGGAATGCAATAAGGAAATCGACAGTGATTATAAAGAGGTGCATTCTCGATTGGTTCACAATGGTAAAAAAGTAAAATGTCATCCAGTGATGGAATCATCGGATTCATCCCAGTCGAAAATCAGTACTTTCTTTGTAAAAAGTAACATGACAACCAAGGACGATGATAACCTTATCTTATAAATGAAATGGCTGGGGACGACATATTTCTTTTTATATCACGTTCGTCAATCTTCAAATGAAAGCCTTTCATTTGTAGTCTTCTTAGATTATATCATTTTATGATGACGTCATGAAATCTATGACGTCATGTCATTCGGGCAAATTCAGCCCAGCCCCCCCGAAAAAAATGTGCCCGTACGCCTATGCACATCGGTAACGAAGGGAAAACTTTTAACTCTTCTTGCAATACTGATCATCGTCGAAATAACTTTGGGAATGATGACTATAAACGAATTTATCCCCTTCCAATTGTATGCTCTAATTCTTTGTATTCTTCTCATTCCTGCAATGTTATTTATCAACTACAAACTGTTTCTAGTCGTCAGGAAAAGTCGTAAAAACAAAAGAATATCTCCCGACATGAAAAAGTCGTTTTCTTTGAAAAACATATCGAGTTGTTTGCTAGCAGTCGCTTGTGTTGCGGTGGTTTCCATTCCAATATTCGTCTACATTGGATTAAGAATAAACTCGCCAGAGACAACATATACTTTGGATAATGCAACCCTTGCAGGGAGTGGGCTAAAACCATATCTTTGATGAATTGTACATTTAACTGTTTAATCTTTTACTGGAAAAACAAGGTGTTACGTACCGAAGGATTGAAAGTTCTGAAAAGCATGAAAATATGTCGACGGGTTGAATCCTAGCTGCATTAATAACCCTTCTTCAAAAAAAATTAAAGCTATAGAAGGAAACTCATTAACAATATCTTGGCCATAGTAAACGTGAACACAACGAACTATACACTTATATTGTTCTATATATTAATACGCATATCATCATCACTATAAGAAAGACGGTAGCTGTAACTAGAGTATATAAGGTACTGTTACAGTATGCTTGATTTCATCCATTCCTGAAGATAACTAAAATATAGTCGAATAAAACGTAGAAAAATAAAATGCTTTCATTTCTTTAAATTATTTCATTACATCCAGGGTGTATAAAACATTTGCCATGTTCTTGTGCTTTAAGTCATGGATACGTAGATTTAATTTTCCCATTCTAATAAAGATTAGGCTTTTAGATTTCGTTTTAAGATTTTTTGTATCATTGCCTTAAAAATGAATCTTTGTGATAGTTTGTTTCTTGAGGTCACTCAGTCATGCGGCACTTCAAAAAAAAAAAAAAATAGCTGGTTTGTACATGGGACGTCCATTATGGACTAAAACTATTTAAATTCCCTATTTACCGTTTCGGTACGTCCATGATAAAATTGCCTTGTTGAAGCTGTTTCATACGTAGCAGCCACTCTAAATAAAGCATATGTGGAAATCGAATGAATCGATCAATTATTGAATAAATCAATCGATCAATCAATCAATAACCAACCTTATTATTAGCATGACAAAATTACTGGATGCTGCTTGGTTGAGAGGAGTACAATTGTTTCATTAATAATTGTACTGCAGTACAATTAATGATTTTCCCAAAACAAACAAAATGGCGGTATTTATTAAACACAAATGAAATTGCCCTAGAGGAACTTAAAGCAAAACACAGTTAATAAAATGCATGGTTTGGTGACTCGGCGAAAATAAAATACAGCTCATTATCCATGTTTGTGTAGGTTTATGCAAAAATATGGGTCCTATCTCGTCACGGGTGTATTGTATTTTTTCGAAATCAACCAATAGTAATGTGTAGGTTGACCAATTGTTTCAGTTACGGATGAACAGCTGAGTTCGAACATTTTTTTAAAATTTTTTTTATTTATTTATTTTTTTACAAGATTCGCCAAACATAACAGACATAAATAAAACTAATACTTTACAAAATTTACATACAATTCGGGCAGAGACTAGCCACAGAGGTAATCTCCAATTATGGGGTCCTTACATTCAGCTATTGGTTGTTTACGGTAAAATGCAATACACACGTGACGAGAACGGAACCACTTTTTGCACAAACGAGGACAATAACATAGATTATATTGTATTGAGTTGTATTGTGATGTAAGTGAGCTTCCCAAAACGAACAAAAGCACCAAATTTTGGTTGAAAGTCTGACAGGACTGGGCTTTGGCAAGAGAATATGATGTCGACATTGGGAATTATCCAATTTTGTCATGCTAATAATAAACAAGTAATCATGCGATGTTGCTCGTACAATAATTGTATTCGCCATCGCATGATTACCTATACAAATCAATTAATCAATTAAAATTAACTAACAAGAACAACATATACCTTTTATGTAATTTGTAGTCAGCCAGTTGAATAGCCATTTGAACGTACGTATCTGGATGGAGTCTATGTTGTTTGATAAATGCTTTGCCATATTCTTTCCACAGAAAACTTCTTATTCCAATATTTGATGACTAATTCAGAAAGAAAAAATATTGAGATGCTCTAAATACGCATTCGTGAACTTTTCTTTTATTTTAGGAAAATGATTGTAAAACTACCCAGGAAACTCGGGAAAAAATCTCAATATTTTCCCCTCACATAAAATAGGTCAAGAAAAGTTGCTTGCTTGCATGCACGGGTTTTCAGAAAAGAAAACCAACAGAAAAGAAAAACAACAGAATGGAAAACAAAGTATATGTTAATTAAAGGAAGAGGTCATTTTTCATTAAGCATTAATTAAAAAGAAACTAACAGGACTATGAAGAATTCTCTTGAACCAAGTATTGTGTGAACGCATAAAGCAAATTGTTTTTGGCAAGTTAAGTTTGAAAACAATGAAAAAGTTATTGTGCCTACCATTTTCTCAAACTGGAGTGTAGCAGTTTTAATGGATCGATGTGAACGATCATCAAGTCTAAAATCAAGTTCCACAGGCTTTGCAACACTAACTTTTGAAACTTTCATATCTTCACTCTGGAAAAATAAAAGGACAGCATGTCATATTAGCTGTACTTTTCAGTAATTTGCATTGCATTTTCTGTTCACTTACGATCTGAAATAGGAGCGGCGCATGGGGACGATTCCCGAATGGAGCATTCAAAAATTACAGCAAGTGATTTGACTCGTATAGAAAACAGAGCTAGGCCAACAACATATACCAACAACAAATCATCCCAGAGCTAGGCCAACAACATATATACCAACAACAAGTCATCCCAGAGCTAGGCCAACAACATATATACCAACAACAAATCATCCCAGAGCTAGGCCAACAACAAACCAACAACAAATCATCCCAGGCTAGGCCAACAACAACAAATCGTTTACCTGTGTTCGCCTACTCCAATATTCCTTCACGCTACCAATAGCTTTAAAAACAGTAGTAATTTGAATAATCGCATCAAACGCCAGATGCTGCATGGAGAAATAATCAAATATAAAAATGAATGATCAATAAATATATACATTTATTATATGGCAAGCATTTGTTTTGATGAATCGCGCAATTTGATTGGCTGCTGACGAGGCAGGATTTTCCCGTATTGCCCACGGGCAATACGCAATTTTTACTGCCCTGCGACGAGAGCAGAGTTTCAAACAGCAAAAAATGTCTAAAAGTCTTCAAAACTATTCAAAACGAAGAAAAATAAACCTAAAATAAAAAGAGGAGCAACTGCTGTGGTTAAAGAACTTTCTTCATACGTTTTTGTTAGCGAAAGTCAAAATTACAAGGTAAATTTTACAATGTTTATAACTATAAAAGCTGTCAGGAATAGTTGTGTTTTGACTATGTGAAGAGCTGCAAATTTTATTTGCAGATAGCCAGGAGGAATTTGACACGTAAATAAAAAATATACACGACTAAAGCAGCCACAGATTTATAATTTTTCCCTGAAAATTTCTGTTTTTGTTAGATAAAAAGAGACATAAATATGAGATGAAGCGAACTAAAAACGTTCTTGTTTTTGTAATTTTATTGAATTTTATTGTTTTCATATTTGTTGTCTTTGATTAAATGACGAAATACCTTGTATTTTTCTTGAAATACTATCCAAAATGTGTTAGTATTCTATATAAAAAGTACTGTAGAGTAGTTTTACTAACCAAGAGAACATTTTTTACAATTGTTTT